TGAGTGGTGTAGTGTGATTGATTGTTGTTGGATAGATATGAATATGTTAATGTTTGTGTGTATCATTTTTGAAAACCTTCACGAGACTTTACTCACCCACTTAGGATAACTTTGTGGTTTAAAGGCTTGTTGCATATGCTAAATCCAATCGTGAGCCCTACGAAAGTGGCTTAGAGTATTTTATTTTTTTTATTTCTATTGTTTTGCTCGAGGACTAGCAAAATGTAAGTTGGGGGATGTGATATAGGCTGAAAGGTACCACATTGAGGCCGCTTAAGTTACATTTATAGTTTTTAAATTTTGTTTATTTGGTGGAGATGATGTGTTTTGTGCACTTGTACAGATTTAGCAGGCACCGCGCAAATTCAAGCAAAAAGTGGCACAAAAGCAGATTCTCCGTGCGAATAGTGACAATTCTCGCCTGTCACCTCACCGCACGTGCGGCCCACCATCGCTTTAGTGGAGATTATAGCCGCTCGAGTGGTCCACCTAGGGTTGCGTACGCGAAAATTTTAGTCTATTCTGCTGGGAATAAAAGAAAGAAAAGAGGCTACTTTTAGGAGGGGAAAAATATTTCAAGGAAAATGAGAGGCTAGGGTTTGAAAAGAGGGGATTCTCAGGCTTCAAGGATAATTTCATGGAGGCTTTTTCTTCTTCTACTTCTTCCCACGCCTCCATGGGTGGCTAGGCTCCTATTTCTAGGGTTCTGATGAAACCCTAGCCAAGTAAATAGGTTTTCTTTTATGTAATGGTTTGAACAGTTGTATGGTTCTCAAGAAGTTTTCAATATAATTTTTCATTATTTCTTCAAGTATTCTTCTTTTTGTGATTGTTGAATGCTTTCCATACAATGGTTTTCTATTCTTTCATGCTCAAGGTATGAGACAAGCTATACTACGAAGGACGAGTCGTGTTGCGACCCTAGTTTAGAGCGAACGACTAGTACTACTTGAGATGGTTTGTGCCTATACATTAAACATGTTAATTATTTTGATAAATACTTTGAGCTTGTAGTTGCAAAATATTATTTAGTTCGAACCATAACATAATTGAGTCCCAAATTGAAGCCTTATTTATATAACTAGTGGTGAATTCATTACCCTAGGTTTTTCTCAAAATCAGTAAATTCCAATTTTACTTTTAATTGCTTAGTTTAATCTCTTAGTTTATTTTAGTTATTACTCGTTTATGAATCATCATCTTTTTAATCAAAATTGAATTAGGAATTTAGAAATTAAATTAGTTTAATTTCCCGTTTGTTCCTGTGGATCGCTACCTAGACTTACTACTATTCTAAGGAATTTGGTATAATTTAGTGTTTATTTTTGGTATGCGAAACGACCCATCAAGGTGACAGCACGCTTTGACCAACTTGATCAGTCCTCTACTTCTCTTGCTGAGCAACTGCGTAAGTTGTGCTCTTTCCTTCACCTACCTCCTCCACCATGACTGTTTCTGTGCCGTTGTTTCATCTTAGTTCTTGTTGTTTTCTTTTCGATTGTTTCTACTTGTTTTGATTGTATTTTTTGCTTTGTCAATTTTGAACAAAAATGGGGAGTATTTGATGATAGATGTTGATGGATGTTGGGAGTTTGGATTTATTTGATGGATGTTTGTTATTTTGGTTTTTGGATATTTTATGGATAATGTTTTGGTTTGTTTTATAAAATAATTTTTTGGTTTGGTTCAGTTCATTTTTCTCATTTGTGTATATATTGTTGTGTTTGGGACTTGTAGCTAATGACTATGTGCATTGATGGAATATTGGTTTTTGTCTCGGAATTGCCAAAGGGAGAGATTGTTAAGATTTTTATCCTATAAGTTTTTATTTGACAAATTCCTCTATTGACAAAACAACTATGTGATGAATGATTATCTTGAATATGTCATGATTTTCTGAAAAGTGTAGGATTGACTTGGTTGGCAAGCATGGGAAAAAGGAGGGGCTGGTTTTCTAGAAAAAAATTACAATTTTATGCCTTAAAACATGGAGAAAAGAAAAGACAGTAAAAAGTCAGAAATTGAAGCTTGTTTGCCACTCTCATTCGCGCCCGCAATCATACCCATCGCGCTCGCAATGTGCATATCGGCAACTGCGACCAGGCCGCGACCAGGGCCACGAAGACACACACTCCCAGAAGTTTTCTTTTGTAACCTGTGATAGGGTCTCGCGCCCGCGAAGGTGTTTTGCCTATTTATAGTAGGCGCGTTCAAATGTGTTGTTTTAACCCTTGAGTCTGTATATTTAGTCTGTATTCTTAGAGAATGCTATAGTAAGGTGTCATTGTATATTTCTCTTATATTTGCTTGATGATTCATAATCATTTGTTATTTCATGAAATCATCAAGTTTAAATCTATTCACCAAACAACTTGTGAGTGGTCTTAAGGTGTGAGTTAGCCGTGGATTCGACATCTCCACATATAGAAAGACAGAGTTCAATTACTTGGAGGTCTCGAGTAAGTGTGTGTGCCTGGATTAGTTGTTGTAAGAAATCTCTTATACTACTCTTGTTCTTAGTGGATTGTTATTGTGGCCGAGGGCCCGTGACTTTTTAATCACTTGTTAGAGGATTCCAACTGTGATTTTTCTATATAAAAATTCTTGTGTTTTTGTTTGATTTTTGTCCTCTCTTTTATTGTTGTGCTTGGTTGATTTGAAACTTTTAAATCAATATTTTCAAGATCATGGGGCTTTTCAATGTATTTATTGATTTTTTATAAATATTTTACTATTTAGATGCATCTAAGTAAAATACATCTAAAAAAGTATAAAAAAAAAAAAAAAAATTGCTGAAAATTTTAAAAATAAAAAACCACGAAAAATAAAAAAACTTAATTTCCAAAAAATTAAAACCAAACATAATAAATCTTACTCCTAAATAGAATTGACAACTATGAGACTCATAATCCCTTAACATATAACGCAACCAAAAATATATTTGGTGAAACTCACAAAATTATTAATCTAATGTCACCACCTAAAACGTCAAACCAACGTGCCCTTAGCCTAATGATAAAGGTACAATTTTGACTGATCATAACGTTGTATTGAGAGTTTCACCTACCATGACTTAAGTATCAGGCCCATACCCAATGGCGGAGGCAGCAAGGGAGGAGGGGGGTCACGTGCCCTCCTGAATTTTGAATTTTGAATTTTCTTTTTTGGCAAATATAAAGAAAGAGGATGATTATTGATTTAATGGTTAAAATTTGGCCTAATAACCTTAAAGTTATGAGTTTAAGTCTTGGGACCAACACTTTGTGTATTATGTCAAAGGTTAGGTGTGTACTCAATTTTTCTCCTCCCAAACACACATTAATGTGTATTAATTGGGCGTTGTTGTTGTTGTTGTTTTGTTGCAAATATAAAGAAAAAATCTTAAATAAAAAAAAATTACAAAAACATTATTAGAGTGAAATGTCAATGACATTTTAAAAATTATGAGAACAATAATGGTTGTTTTGAATGAAAATGAAGAGACTATTCTAAACCATATCATCTATGAAAATTTTATGAAAAATTTTGAATGTAACGGTGATGTCATTATTATGGACATGCAAGTATAACTAATCTCATTATAAAAATATGAAATTTGTTGAATTGTTAGTTACATCTGACATGTGAGGTTCACTCTCTATGTGTTTATTTACTATTAATTGGTGATATCACATAATAATGATGGCGTGGTATTACCATTATATTAAATTTTTAATCAAATTTTGTATAAATTTTTTTTAATCATTATATAATTTATTTTAAGACTTATATCCATATTTTTTTATATTGTCCATGATACACTAGTTATAAATAACATTATTTTTTTTTATGTTCCTCGAAATCAATTTCGTAAAAACTTGCGTTAAATATTTTTGTAAAAGTTTTCAATAATATAATTAATAAGTGCCCCCTCTAATTTGATTTTCTGGCTCCGCCACTGCCCATACCCCTTCAAAAGAACAGGGAGCAGCTTCCCTTCCGGTCTTAAATCGGATTGGAGTGTGTTATTAGGTTCGTGGGAATCTATCACGGATTTCGTTTTGATAATTCAGGCTGTTGAATATGTAGAAATCGTCGAGTACTATATGCCTGTAAAAAACCACGTTGATTAGATATTGATAGCTATTTCATCAGATCAGTTTTCTATCAACCATTAATTTGTTTACCGTCTATTTTTTTCATATAAAACGGATTTGATCACATAACTATCGATATCCGATTAACGTGATATTTTACAAGCATATAGTAGTCAATAAGTTCTACACATTGAACGGATAGGATTATTGAAATAGGACCCGTGATGGCCCCCACAAGCCCAACAGCAACCTAGAGAAGCTGCTCCCTAAAAAAAGTAACCAGTCCTGTTTGGGGTGGTGATGTTTTTGACTAAAATAGTCAAAACATTTAATTATATCATTTTTTTTCTTCTTTTATGAAAAAATAAAAAATAAAAAATAATCAATTGAATAATCACTTTTCAACATTGCACAGTGTTTTTAACTAATCACTCCAAGTAATAACGACTTACTATCCTTGATTGCAGGGTGACCGAGTTAAGAAAGTTGAAAGGCATTGATTCAATCCCACCTCATTTGTACTTGTGGCAAATTTTCCCCCAAACAGATTGCAATGTTAAAATCATAAATCATCTAAAAAATTAGAACAAGAAGATCATCACAAATTATATAAACTAGTTTATAATTCAAACAGTGCCAGGACAAAGAGGAGAAAATAATTGTCCCAACATGTGGACATGAATTTATTAACAAATGAAATCTAAGAAATCATTCAATATAGCCACACAAATATATATACATATCCTTAAGAATTTTCCATCACATCTCATCAGCCCCAACCCAGCTGGAGGAGACCTCATGTCTCTCACATACCTGCCAATATCCATCCAAATTCCATCAAAATCTATGGTGAATAACCCTAACCAACCCACACAAGTTCTTTCATCAAGAGATAACAAGAGAGAAAGAAAGATAGCACAAATGGACAATTAATGGACACATACGTTGAAAAAGCGGAAATTCTAAAAAGGACTGCTTCAAACAGTATACATTTCACTATAATAATTACAGATTGAGAGGGACTACGATAGATGTTTTCACTCAAACTCAATACAAATACACATGGACATACGAGAGTTACTTCATTATTTTAAATATAGGCTAGATCGGTTTTTCGGCTTCCCAATATCAACACACCTCGGTATACTGGTAGAAATGAAAATCAGATCAAGTCGATTCATGATCCAATTCACAGTTGATATAGCCAGTTTGGCTGCTATAAAAAAAAAAAAATTCCTTTCTTATTTTTGCAGCTGATGATTTAGAAAATTGATGACCAGGTCAACCGATATTGTTCGATATTCCAGATACCAATCTACACCGCGACCAATATCGATTCGATTTTCTGACAAAACCTTGTGAAACATCTAAGAAGAAGACTGAAACAAAAGAAAAGAGAACAACCCATCAAAGACAGACACCAATTAACACAAACTGATCTATACATAGACAGACACTGATAATAATATATCAGATTTTCTTTAGGATTTAGGGTTTAAATCAGTATCATGATCATCCCAAGGTATGTTGAGCTCTTGAGTTGATACCAATGTATCAATATCATCCCAATTCCAGTAGTTTGGCATGTCCATGACACTGCTTGTGGTTGGAACAACTTGCCATGGCTGAGTAGCAATGCTTGTTGTGGTGGGGATGAAGGTGGTGATGGTTCTGTCCTCCTCCTCCATAAAAGCCAACCCTCCGGTGAACTCGTAACAATCCGAAGACCGAAAAGAGGTGGGAATTGAAGATGGGTCACTCTCAAAAGAGCTCAAACTTGAGAATGTGAATGGTAGAGTTGAACCCAAAAAGTTTCCATTGTTGCCACTGAAACTTTTCAGATTGAAATTGCCAGAACCATTAATTGAGTCATGTGGTGGATGAATGAAAGCGTGATAAAGAATTTCAGAGATGTTCTTCTGGTCACCACCAAGTTCTTGCTGATTTTGAATACCCACGTGGGTATTACTCCTACTAGAGGCGGTGGCGGTGGTGGCGGTGGTGGTTGCGGTGGTAGTGGAGGTGGTGGTGGTGGTGGTGGCAGTCTTGAGCCGCTTGTTTTTCCGGCCACCGCCAACGGGGACATTTCGGAGAGTACCACCTTTAGTCCAGTGCCTCTTGCAAGCTTTACAAAAATGTCTAGGCTGAGACTCGTTGTAATTATTGTAGTAACAGAACTTTGTGTTTTTAGATCCACATCTTGGACATGCCAGTGGCTCTGATTGCTGATGCCGCAGTTGTAGCCGCCTCGCCACCGCTACCGGAGGCTTAGGAATCTCCAAAGCACTACCGGACTGCAACAAACTGTCCCCCCAATCATGCCCGTCACTAGAAACCTGTTTAGTACTCAAACCCATCTCTAAAAATCAAAACCAAAAACACAGAAACTACAATCAAGATAACAGAATTTAGTAATTAGGCGGTGTGTGGCTGGAAAAACCCTCCGACGATCAAGTTAGCGCCCACCTCAGGATAGAGAGAGAGAGAGAGAGAGAGGAGTGTTTGAGTGTAAGAATTTCCTTACAAAGTGTTCTTGTATCGCGTATGGGGGGCGCAGACATGCTTATATACCCTTCTGCGCCCCAAATCTACTCTCATTGGTCTCTCGACACGTGGCTCTGTTATCCCATCTGTCAGCACAAATCTTGCTATACATCACCTAACCCAACTGCCAGCCCACTCTGCTGGGAGCACGGCAGCTGGGCAACATTACCTCGGCTATCAACAGCCATACTGATCATGCCGAAATGCAGTTGATATAGTTTCCTACTACCGGGCCTAATTCCAGCCGTGCTCAACTGTATTCCGGCGAAGCTGAGCTGGAGATTGGTTGTGCCGGTCAGCCAACAACCTTCTCGGCCAAGCTTCAAGCGCCGGCTTTTCTACCGGGTTAAGATGCGTGCATTACAACCTTGCAACACGTGAGCCGGGGAGCCTCATCTGGGCTGTTCCTTCACCAGTCCGCCTTTCGCGGAACCGAGATCATATAGCCCTGTTCCACGTGGGCTTTGCCATTACCGAGCAATATCACGGCCTGATCTTGGAGCCCAATACCTCGGCCCAATCTTGTCCGGCTAACGTCACGGCCCAATCTCAAATCATAAATCTCCCTCTCAATTGCCCCTTAATTCCGTCCGCAAAAGCGTGACTAGGATTATTTATTTTGACCAGGATAACACTTCCTCGGTCCTCGGAATGCGAAATGGCGACCGGGCTAGTTGACATTCTGTAGACACCCCATTTTTGACCGACCTTAAGACTCAGACGTCACCGATTGAGCGCTTGGTGATGTTGCATATCGTGCTCGTTCAAAAGTTTCAGAGTCTCAGCTGCGAGCCTTGCCTCCGGACTTCTGGACTCTTTTGTGCTTTGCCTCGGTTTGCGAACCAGGCTCCGTTTTCTCTGTTTTCTCTTCCTGAAGGGAGGGAGAAGTCCCGTAGATCATCTCTCAGTGGCCGTAGGCTACGTTTCATGGTCGTAGGCCATTTTGCCCGATTGAAGTCCGGTTTTCGATTTTTTCGGAGCCGTTGGCCGTGTGCCTCGGTTCGGGACCGCTTAACCACCTCTGTTTGCTCCGAATTTTGGCATACATCTTGTTTGCTCCCTTTTGAGGGACACTGTGGTCCGAGAAACTGACTTTGTGGTCGAACACCACTCCCGGTGCCTAACAGTTAGTTTTCGGGGCCCCAGGCTGCGCGTTTCGGCCCCCGAACCTTCATTTTGCATCGGTTTTGGTTCGTTTTTGGCAGGGACCTCTGTTTCATTGGTAAGAAGGTCGTAGAAGGGTGGGAGGCCAACAATCGTTCAGACAACCAGCTTTATTCCTCCATCGCCCTCCGTCACCCATTTTTCCTCACTTCAAAGCCAATGTTGACCACCCTTGGGCCATTTTCTTGCACCCTAAACCCCATATTTGTGATGTACACATCTGGGAGGCCACCAATATTTGGTGGCCGGCCAGTAATTGCTTTTGAACCTTTTGAACCCATTTGAAAAGTGGGTTGTTCTCTCTCCTGGTTCACTATCTCCAGTGTTTGACCACATGATTGTGTTGAGCACACATGAGAGGCCACCAATATGTGGTGGCCGGCCAGCAATTGTTCTTGGACCTTTTGACCCCTAGCCGACCGACCATGGGAAGTAGCCGGCCGGCCACCTGTAACCTGGATAACCAGCCGGCCATGACCCCCTCCACTGATACAGTTCAAATATGTATCTCTTTCCCCCCCAGATTTTGTATCCGGGGGGCCAACTTTTTGGGGGAAAACTTGAATTGTTTTCCCCCCCATTTTTCCCCCCTTTTCTCCCCCTTTTTTGCCTATAAAACCAGCCTCCCAGCTCTGAAATAAGGGTTAGAAATTTTGCCTTTGAGCTCCCATATTGTATCTCTCTCCCTCTACACTTCCAAGCTTTAAACCTCTCAAGTCCTACACCCATTTCTTCACCAACCCATAGCCTCACCCTTCCATCCTCCATTCCAGCAGCTTGAGGTTGTTCTTCAGAGCCTAGGAGTGCTGCATTTTGGTCCAAAAGGCTGTCAAAGATTAGTCTTCAAGGGTAAGTCCTCTTCTTCCATTTTTGACCCTTTTCTTGGTTCATATTCTAGCTCCTTGTGTTTACTTTTTTGAGCTCCGACCCTAACTGAAAATAGAATTTTTTTGAGCTCTATTTCATGTTTGCTTAAGGGTCTCTCACTGTTTGAGGCTTCCTTATGGCACTTGCTTCTTTACCTTTCTTTTATGGCATCTCCTTGCATAGTATTTTAGGCCTATGAATAAACTGTTTTGAGCTCTGTCATAAACTGTAAAGTGACTTATTTTGAGTCCTTCTTCAACATTGTTGAAGGGCTCATCACTGTTTGAGGCTTCCATTTACCACTTGCCTTTATATCTCTCTTTTGGCTCCATTTTTGCATGATTTGTTAGCCTCTTATTCTTCTTTTTTTGGGCTTTTTTCCGAACTATAAATGACCTTATTTTGACCCCCTCTTCATGTTTCATTAGGGGTCTTTTACTATTTGAGGCATCCTTTTTGTACTTTGTGTTATAGCTCTCTTTTTGGCCTTGTTTTGCATAGTATTTTGAGCATGCTTTTGCACTGTTTTGGGTTTGATCATAAACTGTAAAATGCTATGTTTTGGGTCCCTATTCAACATTGTTGAAGGGCCCTCTCTTGTTTGGGGTCATCATCTGTGACTTGCTTCTTTATCTCACATTTAGGGCCATTTTCGCATGCTAGCTTAGCCCCATTTGTGTTCATTGTTTGGCCATGATTAAAACTGTAAACATGCTTGTTTTGGGGTTGCCTTGAATCTTTCTTCAAATTTCATGATCAATTAGTGCATGTTTTGTATAGCTATAGGCCATTGCGCATGCCTAGTTTTGCATTTCGGGTCCCATTCCATGCATCGGGTGCCATGTTTCCATAATTCGGGGCTGTTTTGGGTCATATTTTAGCGCTGAAATTTGCACGTTTGCATACCATGTTTCATGCCTTGCCATGTCTTGTTAGTGTGGCATTTGGTGCCTTAGGTTCGGTCCTCGGTTCGCGTGCACGTGTGCACGCATTTCGAGTATCTCATTTTTCATCTTATGGCCTCTTATGTGAGTGTGGCTGAGGTCCACTCATGTTGGTGTAAGTCCATTTTGTATTGTGTATGCCATCTCATTTCATAGCATTGCGTATGTTAGGTTGTATGTTAGCGCATTGTGTATGCCATGTTACCTCGTGCGTCGTATATGTCATTCCATAGCATTGTGCATGCTAGGTTGTATATTAGTTGCATTCATGCATGTCATGCATATTGCATTGTGCTTGGGATAGGAGTTAGCCCAAGCACGGGAAACGAGGGACGTTTCGTACTCCGAGTAACAGAACGTGTCTTAATTCCCGGTCGCCGACACTCTAGATTATCCATGATGGAGTCTAGGCCTTGTTGTGTCCATATATGCATTCATTTCATATTGAGTCATGCAATTCGACTTCTCGGCCATCATGCATCGA